AACGTCGTGACCCGTGGATCACCTCTCTTATCGAATATTTATCTGGCACGCCCAACCTTCCAGTATCTCGATCCCTCCGACGTCAAGCTTTCCATTTCGCCATCCGCGATCAACTTCTTCATCGACGCAACTACGCTCCCGATGGCCGCCGGTGGTTGCTGGTCATTCCACGCACTTTACGATCGCAAGTATGTGCCTCCCTTCACGACGATCCGCAATGTGGCCACGCCGGAGGGTTCAAAACATATGAACGCCTCCGCCATCGCTACTACTGGCGCGGCATGTACAATTTTGTACGTAAATTCGTGCAGTGCTGTCCTGACTGCCAGCGACGTAAATCAACACTGCCACGTGCGACTGGCGCATTGCAACCACTTCCATGCCCTGCCAAGCCATTTGATCGCGTCTGCGTTGACCTCTACGGTCCCCTTCCACTGACACCAGATGGTAATCGGTGGATTATAGTTGCGGTTGACCACCTGACAAGCCGAGCGCTACAGCTCAGGATGTCGCCTCTTTCATTTTGCAACACTTTATCCTTCGACATGGTGCACCTCGAGAGCTCCTTAGTGACAGAGGCCGCGCTTTCCTTTCCGAGGTCGTCGAAACTCTGCTTTCGGAATGCCACGTCATTCATCGGAAAACAACAGCATACCACCGGCAGACTAACGGACTAACGGAACGGTTCAACCGCACGCTAGGTGATATGCTCTCAATGTACGTGGCATCTGATCATAGCAACTGGGACCGTGTTCTCCCATACGTCACGTTCGCGTATAACACCGCAATACAAACCACCACGGGATTCTTACCTTTCTTTCTTCTTTACGGACGCGAGCCTTCCCATACAATTGATACCCTACTTCCTTACCGTCCTGATGCTTCCGAGTGTCCACCTATCTCCGATGCTGCTAGACAAGCCGAAGAGTGCCGCCAGCTCGCCCGTGCGTTCACCTCGGAAGAGCAACAACGCCAGAAAGAAACCCGTAGCACCTCTCTTCCGGATCCCAGCTATGGCCCAGGGTCTCTTGTGTGGCTTGCCATCCCACACCAAACACCGGGACTCTCCTCGAAACTTGTCCCCCGGTACGAGGGGCCTTACACCGTTTTGGAGAAAACATCTCCGGTTAATTTTCTAATTGAACCAGTTTCCCGATCAGACGACATGCGCCGGCGTGCACGTGACATCGTCCATGTTTCCCGACTGAAACCGTACCATGAGCCTTTGCCTGAAACTTGTTAAGTCGCCAGGATGGCTCCTTTTTCAGCGGGGGCGATTGTGAAGAAGAAGATGTGCCTGCAGCGAGCAGCATCGCCAACGCCCGGCTCTCTCGGCTCGTGCTTCGGTTCGTTGCTGTGCCGATCGCTGGACGGTTCTTCACGCTGTCTTTAACGGCTAATAAACCTCCTCACAGCTACATAAATAAACTTCAGCGCATGGCACCTAACCACAACTGACGTTAACACGACATGAAGTCTGTATCAAATTAGTGCACATGTCATTTTTATAAAATTAGATGGCAGCACTGCAACCACTAGTGACGTTTCACAAAGATTAGCGTCTATTTGAAAAGTAGTTCCAAGACCTGGCGTAGCTCTGTGGTAAACTGCCAAGCGAAATGCTTGGGTTGGATGCCAGCTGGGACCCTGAAATTCATTATTTGCATTCATTGGGGGGGTCAACGCTGCCTATGTCAGGTTTTTCTTAACACTGATATTTATTCTATGCCAACGTTGGGTCGATGCTACTGATGTCAGGTATTTCTTAACGCTTATGCGTTGAAATTGCCCACGTGTGTTCTCACGTTCCCAGGCAGATACTCAGTGCCAATCACCTGTGGCACATACCCGCATACCAGTGGCACATACCAGCGCGTGAGTGTGTGCGGCTGTCTGACGGGAAGTGTTTGAGGACGTGCGGGACTGGATTGTCAGATTTTTCATGTCTTGACCAGCCCATCATGTTCGTCAAACCATTTTACCCTCCCATGCTAATTTTGGTTCACGTCACGTTAAGGGGGTGACCACGAGGGCACCCAAACGTAAGCGGCTAGATATAGATAGATAGGTGAGTAGGTGGGTAGGTAGGTAGGTAGGTAGATAGAGGTAGGTAGGTAGGTAGGTCGCTGAAGTTCGCTGAGAAATGCTTCGCATTTAAAATTAAAAAAAAGTGTTCGACGCAACGAGGTGCGCGACGTTCTTGTGCTTCTAGCTTCTAGTGCTTTCGTCGAGACGAGAGAATGCAATTGCAGTACGAGACAAACTTTTGTAACTCCACTCGCACTGAACGGATTCTTAAACATTTTGCGGCGTTGAATTCGTGAGGCAATAAGCTTTTCCAGTGAATTCATTTTGGTTTACTTGAAAAAGCGTTTCAGAGCCTCTTTAAGGGCTCCATAAGCGCTCACTTGCGCACACTCCCTCTCGCACTCTGACCATGGATACACGTCACTTGCCATAAACGTCACTTGCCATAAACGAACACGAGGCTCGACAACAAGCATTGAGGGCTCGCAATTGGAAAGCAGAGCAAAGGCGTCTGCCAGCTGACCCAGAGGGGTGAGCTCGCGAAGCTGTGGCGCAACAGCAACGAAGGCAAGTGGAACCAGAGGTGGTGAGAAAGCAGCAAGCAGCGGTGAAACGACAACAAAAATGCAAGCGTATCCAGAGTTGAGAGCTCGAGAAGCTAAGCTGAAACACTAGAATCGCTGACACCTGCTTCAGGCGCAAATTCCTAAACCAAAGCATTGGACACAATTTCAGGGTGTGTGATCGTTTGTTGTATGATAATATCACCAAGACCACAAACATTCTGACTCATTATATGATGTAGAGTGGGCAATGTATGGGCACTCACGGTTATTCGATGATCCCCAGTGCCCACTCGTCATCAATCACTCCGAGGATATGGAGTGATTTTTTTTGTACACACTACCGCAATATGAGTGATGAAATTACTCATAAAGGGTGATTGTTTGCCAATTGCAGATTCTGTCTGCAGTGCTGAAGGCGCAATATTTTGCTTTGAGATAGGGTTTCGTGTAAGCCCTAGTTAATTTGCATCGACATTCAAGGTGCCGCTGAGTGGGTCAAATGACCTACACTGGAGTAGCAAGTGATTCTATTGCTACTATTTCTAATTATTAAATTGACCTATGCTCTAGTTTAATGCGAGCACTGTTAAAAATATATAAATTTTAATTTTGAGCAAGGATATTTTATGGCTGCTGTGGTTAGTCATCACAAAAATAAAGACTTCAATTGTAGCAGTATTTCCATAAAAGCCATCCGAATAACTCACTGCAGAGTAAAATAAGAAGCACGAGAAGATTATCCATGGCTTGAAAATAAGCAGGTTCACTTACAAACATCCATGTGAGTACAGCCAACTAAATAATGCGACTGCAATGCACATTGTATCATATGCTGCAAAAGACACTGCACAAATCGGCAAGAAGTTTCCATATTTATTTCCCCAACTCAATACTCCTCCTGCCACTGCAAGTTGTCAGGGTCGCATATGGAACAATTCTGGAATCATTCTAATTCCAGAGTGGCAACTCCGCTACACTGATCTAGACGCATGGCAAACACCTGCACCTCTTCCATGTATCCTGCTTCTGCGGCTTTGCAGGAGGATTCTCGAAACAGCGTTTCAATGAAAAGCAGTGCTACTTCCAATAAAGGGAAGAAAAAGCAACCCTTTTAATCGAGTGTAAGCTGTGAGCGTAGAACGTGGCACTTTTCTGACTTTGCTTGTTGATCAGGCTGTCATTTTTTTTCTTTGCGAGAGCCCTCCATACCATACAGCCTGCCAACTTCTACGTATAATAAGTTTCCAGCACATGCAGATCTCTAGCAGAGGAATCGCAATTGTAAGTGCTCTAATATAAAGCACAAATCTACAGCAAAAAAAAGTCCGTTTGAGAGTATATACGCCCAAGATTGACTTAGCATCTTGTACACCTTGGCCCGACATTCCCAAATGAGTGCGAAGTAATATAAAAGCGCAAAACCATTTTTTTTTCTCCCCAGATGCAAGCTTCGCCAACAGTGCGGCAGCCTTTTTGACCATACGAAGCAGCGCCGTGGTGCAGATAAAAAGGGCGGGCCCCGCCCACCTCTGGAAACGTGCTCTTTAGGGCGATTGGGATGGCCGGAGAGAAACACACCACGCACGCGCCATCTCGGAGGCCATGGTTGTGGTGAGTGAATTTGAGTGAGTCAGTCCCTTAAAGTGCTGACATATGTAAAAAAAAAAAACAATGGTTTCATTTGGAAGATATGCAGAGTTTACACACTGTAGCTTTGGCTGCATAGCCCAAGACTTGTACTGATGCACTATGCTCGGAACAACTAGTGGATATATCTTGCAGTGCCCAATCACTGCACATTACTTAAGACATCAACAATCCTCTTCATAGCCCAGCAGTTAATGAACTTCAGCGTGCTGGCATGGATCAAGATAGCCAGGCCTGTGTGGTAAAGGAGCACTGACACAAAATTTTGAAGGAGAGGTAATGAGAGAGAAAGATTTATTTAAACACACACATCAACGAAATATCAAGGGCAAACATAGTCTCGAACATATTGAAAATCAAATGCTTCCTGTGCAACTGAGGGAGGTGTGAAGCTGACATCAATGCGACCAGAGAGTAGACAAACTACATCACGGGTTTGTGTTGGCCGTTTGCTTGCACGTGCCTTTCAGTTGAGCTACCTGCGATTTGTTCCTCCATGCATGCGGCTTTGCATAAGCTGGTGTGCTGGCTATCAGAACAGCGTTCTCTTGAGGATGCCACCACGTCACAGTTTTTTCTGGTCCCATTGCCAGCAGTGTTTACACTGGAACTGCTCTGCCAGTCCTTCTTGAAATCGAATCAGCTACTGGGTGCTCAAAAAAAGTATCTAAATTTGAAGTAACCATTGCCAGCACTCGTGCAAACAAGGTTTCCAGCCATGGTAAGTTGGAAAAAAAACACAAAGTGCGAACCTTTTGGGTCAATGTTCCTTTAATGTGAAAGCTACCGTGGGGGATGCATAGCGATTGCAAGAGATATATTACCAGCCAGGCAAAAATACCGATGGCTTCGAAATAAGTGCTTCCAACATCACGGGTCTTTATTGATTCGCTTGCATGCCAGCACAACTACAATACACCTCTAAACATATGAGCCAAAATGTGCGGCAAACTGAGCTGCCAAGCGAGAAGCCAACATAATGTCTTGACTTGCATATTGATCGCACTTTTCTTCTAAAAAAACAGTCTCGAGGTTCCTGGGTGCAAGCATTATGCCGTGTAAAAGTTTATGAGAAAAATATGGTAGCAAGTTGGAATTCTCGGCATGGCTATGGAATGGCAAATTTTTAGGATTTGTAACCAAAACAATCAGGCAAAAACATTAGCATAAAAGCACACCTTCACTACGCTTTGTATAAATTGCTTCAAGGCCAAATTGCACAAGTGGCCAACTGTAAAAAACAGAAAAGAAAAGGAGGAAGGGTGAGGGGCTGACAAACTGCTCTCTTGATCTGTCTTTATCTGCACTACAACAAGGTGATATTAGCTAAAATCCACAATGTCAAAAAAAGGTAATTTCATTAGCGGGGAGGATGTAAAGGCAGCTCAGCATCGCATTAATATCATAATTCACAAAGGCATCATGTCTTTCCGACACCCGTTTTCCAACACATACTCGGAGAGTTTTCAACAGAAGACCAATGCAATGTTGGTACCAGCGCACTTTATGGTGCAGCGCCTGCCTCATGAAACAATGATCAGTAATGTTGCAAAGACAATAAGGTCAGGGTACAATCATTCAGTGAATGAAAAAAAAAAGAAAATTTCTGCTGACAGAATCTATGAGTGCGATCATTATTCAAGAAGAAAGACAAATTTTCACGACAGAATTCAGGTGTAAAATCATTAACGAAAAAAAAATTCTGCAGACAGGATCTAGAGGTGTCAATATGTGGGAAGAAAAACAAACAAAATTATTCTGGAGTGTGATTATTACACAGAAGGAAACCAAAAAAATCACATTTTGTTGATAGAATTACCACATTTACTTACGTAATAAACTCACTTTCTTTCCAAAAAATTGCAGCAAAGTTAGGGGGTGCGTTTATTACGCGGGGAAATTTTTTTTTTAACATCTAGTAATTTTGTTGACGAAATTTGAGGGTGAAGTTACTATGTGGGAAGGAAAAAAAAATTGCTGATGGAATTGAGGGGTGCGAACATTATGTGAATGCAATCAATATATGAGTAAATACGGTACTAACAACAGACCTCACTGTAGTAACGAAGTGCCTGCACTGTTTCAGCAAAGCAACAAGTACTGAGATTTGTTAGTGAGCGTCACTGTCATGAGAAACTACTCAAAGATGTTGCCTTAATGTAAACGCCTCCTCTGGGATTTCAAACACCGATTAGCAAATGGTAAATAATAATATCTGATACCAACTCTTTCCAAAAAACAAACACAGTTTTGCTCACTCTGCCCGAATTGCCGTGGAATTGCAGGTAGCTGCGATAAGTGCATTAGACAGCAAGACTGAGCAAGATGAAGCCGTTGAGATTGGAAACGAACTTTTAAGTACAATTGGGCTTAAGTGTGGACTTCCTTGCTTGGCTTTGCTACCCTTATTTCTGTGGTTAAAAATAGTGACTGGCTAATCGAGCACTTTTGGCTGCAATACACCACATGGCCAAAAATGATAAAAGCATACGGAACATACAGGGGACAGCAACAACAACAAAAAAAGGCAAATGAAAACACTAGATTTTTGAGCATTAGTCTGCAATGACATCTTGGCTGTATAACCTACTGCCTTGCACTATGTGTTTATTCTGGTTGTGATCAACATCAGCAAAACCTGGAAGACCTTAGGAATCCACATGTGTGTGGATATGACCAGATTTGCACTGCCACTGCATTCAGGACTGTCATTCCGAGGAACTGAGTACAATGGCTGAATGCAGCAGCGACGGGTTGAAATCTGTTACCCTAGTCCCATCCACCACTCACTGTTTCAGCACCATGCAAAGTTTGGCAGCTCCCACTACACTTTTTGCAAACAATATGGACAAGGCCACCCATGTGAGCTGGGCATGTCAACCCGAGGTGAACTCAGTGTAATCAGAATTACAAAACTTGGTCCCGCCATGCATAATTAGTCCACAGCACACCACGTGATCACAGCAGCCTCCACAAAACGAAGCCTAAAAGGCACAGTTAGAACCATTTTCACTGGAACAGAGCCTTCAAGGTTGGCCTGCAGCACACCCGAAAGCAATCACACAATTTGTCCTAGCAGAGTGCAGCAGTGCTCTTGGTTGCAGCGGGCACTGCTGCAGGCTTCAGTCATACCCAGACACCATTTGGATTCTTGCTAGTAGGCACTGCACTTTCTAGCTGTCGTGGAGATCCAATGATCTTCCGTGTGCTTCCTGGACGATTGAAAAACCCTCCTGGGGGGGAAAAACAAGATACGCGTTAAGGCATTAAAATGGGATGTCGCCAGAGCAAACTTGTGTCAATGCACGCAGTCAACCTTTTCCGAAAGTCGCCACCAGTCACAGTGCCAGCGGGCGATTTTGCTTGTTTGTTATCCCACGCTCCCGCTGTGTACTTCAATGACCATCATGCCCTTTTCTTGCTTTTCTATCCTATTTGCTCAAGTGTAGCGAGCACGCCATCCTTGCGGGCTTAAAATAAAAGTGCACCTCAGTATACTGGTACAAGATTTTAACAATAAAACAGTGACATGCCCCCATGTTACATAACAAGAAAACGTAGAAGTGGCATCCATAAAATGAAAGATTTCTTGTATCTCCTTCATATATGTGATTCAGTTTTGCTCGTTCTAAGATCACTTCTCAGGAAGTCTCCATCGCAGGCCAATTGGTGGGCCGTTAGCCTAACAGGCTTGGTCTATGTGGAGCTGAGAGCTTGAAACAGCTGAACATCTTTGGAAGAATTTGGGACAAACAAAGAGCTGTTTCTTTCCATCTCAATCCTTCGTTTGGCATGCACCGACCAACCCAAGTTTGCATTTAGGATACTCGGAGCTTAGGTCTGCAAACTCACTTATGAGCCAACTCACTCTAATTCAGATTGAGTTGTGAGTGAGTCCGAGAAAGTTGAGCCAGTTCAGTTGAAAAAGAACTGGCCTGAGTTGGAGTGATCCACATCAGGCAAATTCAGTTGACTGTGAGTCTGACTGAGTTGCACGACTAGTGATGCACAGTTCCCACAGGAGGCTTCATTCAGGACAAATTGAATAAAGAATGAATTAGCAGCGATGCCTGAGGTGAAGCCACATCCCAGTTCTTACAGTACTTTCGATTTCACAACTCGACATGGACACTCATCCAGGCACTTTTTCGAACTCCTGGTTTTCGTCGCTCTCATAAAAAACAGCAGATGCTGTCGGGTTTCCGTGACGAACGACACCGGGTTGAACACGAATGGGAAAACGCCCCCGTACTCTTTATTTACTCTGAATATATACATGTGCCTGTACGGTACACATGCGCAGGGCATTGCCCCGGTAGGGGCGGCATGACACAACGTAAACATGATATCAGCCGAACGATTACGCCACATCTCCCCTTTTAAACAGAAGAACATTAAAAACACCGTAAAAAGCATTTCTTATTGCATTCAGACTAACCGAACAGAACGAAAAGAGCCACACACCAGTCAAAACTTACCTACACACACAAGTCCAAAAGTTACCTACAGCACTACATTCAGAAATACCAGTAACGGTCTGTTTTTTTTACAATTCTACCGAATTGGGTGACATATTCGCCTGGAATTCGTGGAAGTCGAACATTACTGCAATCGTCTGTGCGATCGCAGGGGGGGAGCTTGGGAGTTGGGCTGGCTGCTAGCAATTGAACTTGGCCAGGGGGAAAGTCGTACGACGTGTAGTAGGATTCTGGAACTCTGCTTGGCGCTTGCTTGAGTAGCAATTTCCTGTTGCGTTCGATCTATAGGCCGCTTTCCAAACCAACAACATACGACCGTGGCCGTTTATCGCGCCGACAGATGACGCCTTCCCGTCTGCAGTCCTTGACCCAGTGTCCCCGGGTGCCAATGGGACAAGGTGGCGGACAGCGTGGCGGCGATCGTAATATTGTGCCTGCTTGTCCCTGACAGCCGCATCCTTTTCCCCGCACCTCTTTCAGGTTGGGTGTCTTTGGAATCAACTTGTCTGGATGGAGAGGTAGGGTGGTACGAAGCCGCCGTCCCATGAGCAGCTCCGCTGGTGTTCTGCCTAGTAGTCCCAAGGTGTCCCTGTAGGCTAAGAGAGCCAAATAGGGATCATGATACTTAGTAGCCCTTTTACTGTTTTCACCATTCGTTCTACCTCCCCATTTGCCTGAGGGTACCTCGGGCTACACGTCAGACCCTGGAATCCATAAGCCCTCGCGAATGCCTTAAATGCCTCACTAACAAATTGAGCACTGCTGTCTGTTACCAGCACTTCCGGAATACCGTAACTTGCAAATACATCTTTGATGTGAGTAACAACGCTGGTGCTGGTAAGAGACGTCAGCAAACACAACTCAGGAAAGCGCGATAGATAGTCCACTAAAAGCAAGTAGTTCCGGCCATGGAAGGTGGAAGATATCTGCTGCGACCCTTTGCCATGGGCGATTAGGTGTCTGGGTTGGGATCATAGGTTCACTCAGCTGGTCTCGAAACTGTGAACGAATGCGGCAATCGCCAACCACGGCAGCAAGCCGAGAGCTTAAACCAGGCCATCAAATGGATTCTCTTGCTCTCGCCCTGCACCTCACGAAACCCTGATGGCCTTCGTGAAGCAGACTTAACATTCTATTCTGGAGGGAGTGCGGCACAACAAGGCGCGTGCCACGCATGAACCCTCCTTTGCAGACACTCAGAGCTGCACGATCCTGCCAATGGCCTCAATACGCTTGGCATCGAAGCTGGTCTCGGCCATCCTTCACGAAGATAACGGCACAACATACGGCAGGTCTCGTCCTTTGCCTGTTCTTCAGCTACCAGTCGAAAGCTGAATGCGCAGCGGCAACAAATCAAACGGGGTCCTTCCTAGCGATGTGACTAGCGGTTTGTGATCTGTTTCCAGCGTTATGTAAAGCCCACGCACGTAACTTTCAAGACGTTCGGCCTCCCAGGTTAGAGCTTCAATTTGCGCATAGCGCATGAGCTCGGTGGCTGTGCCACAACACACACCAGTAACCCACTTCTGCTCATCATGCAGGTTTTCCTTTCTGCTGTCACACGCGTGCTACTGCCTGCAGTAGTAATGTCAGCGATTGCCGTGAAGGAACCGCCAGACCTGCGCACCGGGATTGACGTGACAAGTTGGCGCATCCGCGTTGACAGTCATTCCGCCTGTCCAACTGTGCCACCTCCTGGAAACTGGATGCTTGACCAAGTACCGGGAGCTCTGCTGTCATCGACAACCATCGCAGAGCCAGCTATAAAGGAACCACGATCACCGCCCGCGCTCTGTGGGCTCGGTGGCTGTGCCACAAAACACACCAGTAACCCACTTTTGCTCATCATGCAGCTTTGTGAACCAGATTGCCTTTACACTAAGAGAACTAGCAATTACTTTTTGGTGCAGCTCCCGAGCCCGCAGTGCTGCTTTGATATTGCCTGTGAGTGTCTTAATGTGATTACGTCTATTTTGCTACAGCCAGAAGATATTAAAACGAACCTTGGTCCTGATACCGCTGCTGTACTTGCTGAACTGAAAAAACTGTTTGCTGGCCAAAGCACAATAATAGCCGACATGCAGGACCTTAAAAGCCAATGCGCGGCTACAAGTGCTGCACTTGTCAACTTAAGCAAAAGGTTAGCGGATCTAGAGGGTCATTATCAGAAACTACTACCACTTCAAACAGAGATACAGACTATACAGGCAGGATACTGAGCAAACAGCAAGGCTCGTTCACGCCCTCAATGCGCGAGTTGACGATGCAGAGAATCGCTCAAGACGAATCAATCTTGTGTTTTACGGCCTTCCTGACACAGCAGCATCAGAAACATCGGCCACGTCTGAAGAAAAATTATACGTCTGTGCTCAGACTACCTGGACGTGCCACTTGAACCTCAAGATATAGAGCGAGCACATTGTGTTGGTCGCTATTTGGCTAATCGTCGGCGCCCATTAATTGTTAGGCTTAATCATTATAAGAAAAAAGAAATGATACCCTCAAATGGGCGCAAACTTAAGGGCACCGACCTCAGCATCGGTGAAAATTTTTTCCCAGCAGTTAGAAACGCCCGCAGGCAACTTGTTTCTTTTGCGAAAGCTAAATCTGTGCCATTTTCCTTGCACTTTAAAAAACTCTCTTTATTGGTTCTAAGCGGTACCTGTTCGATAACGCATCGCAAACAGTGAAAGAAATATAGCAGTCATCACGTCATCAAAAAAACAAGCCACTCCCCTCGAACGAAACCTATACCTCATGTTTCCCTTTCAATAAATTACACTAACATACGAAGCTTCCTTCCCAAACGAGAGCACGTGTCTAACCTCGTGCTGTCGTCGAACAGCAATGTTCTTGTAATCACAGAAACGTGGCTTTGTAGCGACGTCTATGACTCTGAAGTATTGGCTGATCTGCCAAACTTCAGCATTTTTCGAAAAGATTGTGACGGAACTAGAGGAGGAGGTGTGCTCATTGCAGTTAGTAAACTGCTGTCGTGTTCCGCTATCAACATCACATCAGAATTAGAAATAATGCTTATTCTATGCCATGCCACCCCGCAGTCTGTCATTTTATGTGTTTGTTACAGGCCTCCGTGCAATAGCACCGACTTTGCTCGTAAATCGTAAACTAAACAATGCACTAAATGTCGTTTGCTATCGGAACCCAAATGCCAACGTTCTTCTTTTCGGAGACTTTAACCTTCCAGACATTGATTGGCGGAGCACCGTACCCTCTTTAGTAAGCCAAACCGAAGCGAGTGATTTTCTGTACGTTTGCCTCAACTTTAATCTAACACAACTTGTATCAGAGCCGACCCGTGTTACCCAAGACACTGCAAACACTTTAGACCTAGTACTGGTCAACTGTCCAGACAGTTTGTCGTCCATTACCTTTCTTAGAGAAATAAGCGACCAGAAGGTCATCCATGCTTCTTTTCGCTTTGCTTCAGCTTTGCGGAATAAGCGCGAAAAAACTATACACTTATACAGCCGGCGTGGATAACATTAATTCTAAACTGTTAAAGAATACTAAACATGTCACCGCGGTTTTCCTGTGTTAGCGGTTCTCGCAGTCACTTTCAACTGGTGAAATGCCATATGACTGGAAGGTGGGAATGGTTGTTCCAATTCACAAAGAAGGTGACAGGAATTGCCCGCTTAATTATTGCCCCATTTCATTAAGGAGTGTGCCCTGTAAGCTCATGGAACACGTCATGTACACAGAAATTATGAAATTTCTCGACTCGAACAAATACCTTCATTCTTCACAGCATGGGTTCCGCAAAGGCTTTTCCTGCGAAACCCAACTGGCCATTTTCCTGCATGTTATTCATACCAACTTAGATTCTAACCTCCAGACAGATGCGATATTTCTTGATTTCGCAAAAGCATTCGACAAGGTGCCACACTAACGTCTATTATTAAAACTTTCTCTTGCGAACATTAACCGGGACATTTTGCGATGGATTGAAGCGTTCTTGACAAACCGATCTCAGTTCGTTACAGTTAACAACCGTGCATCTAGCCCCCTACCAGTGACCTCCGGCGTACTGCAAGGATCTGTTCTTGGACCTTTACTCTTCCTATTATACGTCAATGACCTGCCTTTGCACGTGTCTTGCAAAGTTAGTTTGTTTGCAGACGACTGCATCACTTATCGAACAATTACTAACACATCGAATCAAGACTTACTTCAGGAGGACATCAATCGTCTACACCAATGGTGCGACCGTTGGTTAACTGGAACTTAATCCTAAGAAATGCAAACTGATGGTATTTTATCGTCGGCACGACCCATTTCCTTACACATACACAGTCAGGAACATTCCCATGTGTTCTGCGCAGTCTTATAAGTACCTAGGTGTTACTATATCAAACGACTTGTCCTTGCGCACACACGTCACTAACATCATTTCTTCTGCTAACAAATCACTTGGTTTTCTCAAGCGTTATCTGAAATGCACCCCCAAACCGGTTAAACTACTGGCCTACCAGTCAATAGTCCGTCCGAAACTGGAATATGCATCTGCCATATGGTATCCTCACCAAAAATATCTCTTCAACGCACTCGAAGCCGTTCAAAATCGTGCCGCAAGGTTCATTCATTCTAATTATTCATATGACACGAGCATATCTTACTTAACGAAAGAATTGAATTTGCTTCCCCTTAGTACGCGCCGGCGCACTGCAGCCCTCTCACTTTTCGACAAGTTTTATCACACCTCGCTTCATCAGCCACCCTATATCCTCCCCGCAGGCCGAGCGTCTCATCGTACATGGCACACTTTTCAAGTAGGCCGCCCTCGCATGCGCACTGTTACCTTTTCCGCCACATTCTTTTGCCATGCCGCTACAGATTGGAACAACCTTCTCCACCAGATCGCCGCCATCACTTGTCCATGTTCATTTGCAGAGAGTAGCACTGCGCACTTTTCGCAATAAAAAGTGAAATTATAGTTTGTATTATTTACTGTACTAGTCCTAACCTATTATTTATTGTACTTGTGCTGACGTATGTAACACCTTAGCCCATGTATGCTTCTGTATTTTTCTCGTGATCAGTTACATGTTATGCAAATTATGTACATTAGCGCATGTATTTTTCTTTTTGTGTTTAGTTATGCATTAAGCAAGTTATGTACTAATGTATTCCCACCCCCTATGTAATACTCCTTTTAAGGGGTCTTTAAGGTAATAAAATGAAATGAAATGAAATTTCTGTTGGTGTCAATGATCTGGAAACAATCACAACTGGCCGTCTTTCTTTGTTTGGTTGTACCTGAAGCAGAACTGCCCCTAAACTGTACGAAGATGCGTCTGCAGAAAGAATAGTTGAATTATGCAGATCAAACTTTACCATACATCTATCGGAACAGATGGCCTGCTTTACGCTGTCAAAGGCCATCTGCTGAGGAGCAGCCCAACTCCACTCCTTGTTCCTTTGCAGCAACTGACCTAACGGTCTTATCTGCTAAGTCTGGGATAACCGCAAACAATGATTTGCGAGACCAAGAAATCGGTGCATGTCGCTTACATTTCCCGGTGGCTTCATATCACTGATCGTCCTAACTTTAGCTGGATTCGGTTGTATGCCATGTTTGCTCGCTCGGCATCCCAAAAAAACAAAGCTCTTTTACACTGAACTGACTCCTGATTCAGGGTTACGCCGGCTTCTGCCAATCGGTTTAAAATCTGGAACAGTCGCTCATCATGCTCTTTCTGAGACGAACCAAAGACCAGTACCTCGTCCGTTAGGTTTACAAGCCCCGGCACTCCGTCAAGGATTTCACACATCTGCCTTTGAGAATACTCAGGAGCAGATGTTATTTCGAACGGCCGACGCTCAAAGCAATAACGTCCAAAAGGAGTAATAAACCTTGTCAATTGCTGACAGCCCTTGCTTAGCTTTACTTGATGGAATCCAGAGTTCGCGTAAAGTTTAGAAAACACCATTGCTCCACTAAGCAGCCCAAGTGTCCCATCAACAGCAAGGAGCACAAACTGCTCATGTTTCACACTCTTATTCAACTGCATAAGCTCAACACAGATCCGAACTTGCCCAGAAGGCTTCAAGACGGGCACTATGCCAGCACGCGATTCGGTCGGCCCTTCAACTTTACGAATGACTCCGTCTCTTTCCATTTCCTGTAGCTCGCATTTCACACCATCCCTCAGCGGGATGGGTATACGACAAGCGGTGTGAATAGCATAGGGCACTGTGTTTGCACAGTTTGATGAACTGAGGCTTTGTCTACAAATTTCACAATTCCTAAAGCTTCTATTGCTGGCAAGCCTAGAATGACCTTACTCGCCGAGTTGACGACAAAAACGTCCTGCCTAACCTGACATCGTCTTCACAGAATATTGGCAGTAATTTTTCCTTTTAGGTCTAACACTTCACTGCCTGGCCCCTTCAAACTTACGTTAGACTGCTGTAGATCTTCCGGTACACCAGGGAAGGATGCTGGAACAACGTTTACCTCTGCTCCTGTGTTGACTTTAGAGATACGGTCACTCCGTGAATAGCGATTTGAACAAAGCAAGCTCTTGCAAACGTATCAGCTAAAATCCCAACAAAGTACGTTACCCCTTTTCGATCTAATAGCTCACTCGAAGCATGACTCCGGCGAATACTGTACAGGCCTACCTCGGATACACTTGCTTCGGCATTCGTGAAGTCCTGCCTTTGTGGGCACACCGCAGCGAAGTGTCCCTGTCATTGGCACCCGTAGCAGACTGTTCTTTTTGCATGACACGATGACTTCCAATGACGGGCTCTGCCACACGCCGCACACTTTCGGACGTCTTTGTTGACCGTTGGTGCTCTGCCTACCCGCAAGCTTCTCGATAAACTGCGTCGACCTCAAGGCCGGTTGCTTGGTGGTACGCACTGCTGTGAAGCTTATGTTGTTGTACCGCTTCTTTTGTTCTTGCCCTGGACAGTGCAGTTTTTAGATTCAGTGTTGCGTCCATTTGGAGGGCCTCGGACAGCTTGGAGTATCGTAGTCCAACGACGAAACGGTCGAGGATCATCCTCTCTTTCATCACGCCATAGTCACACCTATCTGCCAGCGTATGTAACGCCGTCACATAATGGTCCACCGATTCACCTGCAGCTTGGTGGCGACGATGAAAGCACGCACTTTCGTAGACTGAATTCCGTGTGGCAACGAAGTATGCATCGAAGCGTTTCTTCACCACTTCATAGTCCTTTGACTGTTCTTCCGATAATTCAAAGGTCCGGAATATGTTGCGAGCATGTCACCCCATCGTATACATCAGCGTACATACCTGGGCCTCCCCAGTTTGCTCGCCGGAATCAAATCGATAATCATCGAAGTCTTGCACCCACACCGGCCACTTTAACACCTTGTCAAAGTTGAAGTTCGTTGGCGGTTGTACCGGGAAGGGCTGGCAGAAACCTGTATTTTCTGCACTCGCCATAGCTCAAAAAGCAGCGCGCTACACTTCTGACACCATGTCCGGTTTCCGTGACGAACGACACCGTGTTGAACACGAACGAAAAAACGCCCCCGTACTCTTTATTTACTCTGAATATATACATGTGCCTATATGGAACGCATTCACAGGGCATTGCCCCAGTACGGGCGGCACGACACAACGTAAACACGATAATAGCCGAACGATTACGCCACAGATACCTGAACGAATGGCTCAATTAGTTGCACTGTCACCTGCTGAGGCAGACAAACACAAGCATGAATGAACTGACCAGAGGCCTCCAGCCAATGCTTGTGGTCAGCATCAGCCAAAGCCAGGGCCTCCAGGTTGGCCTCGCGCAACTCTTCACTCAGTTGAGCCACCACGCGCCGACGCTCGGACAGCTGCTTGGACAGGTCTTCTTCGTCACACGCCCCTGCTGGACACCGCTTCTTCTCTGATGAAAGCTGCGCAAATCAGGATTTAGTGACTTGTAAAGCACTCCATGGTCTCCGCAGTACAGAACATTAGAATGGAGACTTTTTGGCAACAATTATAGATGGTGTACAAGATGAAAGTGGCTGTACAAAATAAAAACCATTGCAAATTTATTCATTGGATTTAATATTTTCAAGTTTAGAATAAGTTTAATAAATCAAGCTTATTCACCTTTTACATCAGCTAGTAGGGTGCAACCAGTGAGCAAAATGGTATGGGCTTCTGGGCATGCTCATGTTCCTTACAATCATATTGCACGGTAGTCACCCTAATGACTGATCCTAATACATAAATATGAGCCACTCAATGTGCAATGTTTCTTGCCTGCTGTATGCCAGACGAGTAGCGGGGAACAAAAGCGGTTTATTCAGTAATGCAGCCGAGTATATAAGGAGCCTTGAGATAAGCAGATCGAGTGTTGCATGTGCACGTTGGTTGCCGTGCAAGCGTGACTTGCTGGCACTCTACTACATCTTTTCTTCTTTGGGGCAAAAAAAAAGGAGACATAACACACACACATAAAAAAAAACAAGCGTTGAGGAAATTTTTCGTTTGCAAACATGGATAGCCTTGCTATTTGTGACGTTTTGGCCATGGATAACGTTGCGTCTCTCGGCGAATGCGCTCACTTCTTCGAAGGACCTGAGTTGAGTCTGATGGTGCTGCTTGGTTTTCTGCCGGGAACTCGCGGGCAGGCGACGAGACTTCTGTGGCCCTAAGATGTTCTCTTGTGCGGCGTAGCTGCTGCCCATTGTTTGTAGTCACCACGTAGGATCGCGTGGGCCCTGCAGGACCGACCACTTTGGCTGGAGTCCACGTTCTGCTGCGTGTGTCACATACGGACACTCGGTTTCCGCTATGAAGGTCTGGCTGACTCTTTGTAGTTCTGTTGTAGTAGAAGCGCTGTTTATGTCGTATTTCTTGCAGTCGCTGATGAACAGTTTCTGTGGGAACCGTCTTCGGTTCCAAGTGACAGTTGAGGACCAGGAGTTGGCTTCGGGTGTGACGTCCCATGAGCCTTTGAACTGGCGATTGCAGCCATTCGTCCCTCGGAGTGTTCCGCCATTCCAGCAACACACTGTAATATTCAAGGGTGGAAAACGGGCACTTGTTTAACAGATGCTTAGCTTTCTGAACAGCGCGTTCTGCTAAGCCGTTGCCGCGCGGATAGTACGGGCTAGACGTGATGTGGTTGATATTAAATTTGCTCGTTAAAGCGTGGAAGTTCGTGCTGTTGAAAGGCGGGCCGTTGTCACTGCACAGCTTCGCTGGAATGCCATGCGTCGCAAAGATTTCTGCACTTGCTTTGATTACTGCAGCAGCGGTGGCATGACTAAGCTTGCGAATCTCAAAGAAAAATGAGTAAGGGTCAACGATTATGAAGTATTCATTGCCTTCGTGGTGAAAAAGATCCACCCCGACAACTTGCCTTGGCAGAGTTGGTAACTCGTGGCTGATCATGGGAAGCCTTGCATTTCTTTTTTTGTATTTGTCGCAAATAGCACATGTCTTCGCTACATCTGAAATATTAGCATTCATGCTTGGCCAGTACATTATCTGTCGTGCCCTTGCCTTCATTTTATTTTTGCCACAATGTGCAGCGTGGAGCAGGCCGAACTCTGCGCTTTGCTGGCGGAATGACAAGCTTGTTACTTCTGAAAAGCAGCCCGTCCTTCACGTGGAGCTCATCCCGGAAACTCCAATATGACTTTAAGTCATCCGGCAGCTGCTGCTTGCTTTGGGGCCACTCTGTACTTGCGTAGCGGCAGAGCTCGGTCATGAGTGTGTCCTCGGTCTCTGCTTTCACGCTGAGTAGCTGCTGATCTCAAACAGGTAACGAAGAAACAGCGTTGAGTTCCGTTTCATCCACCAGCTCTGTTTTGCGAGAAAAACGCGAAAGTGCGTCGGCCAAAGACAGTTCTTTTCCCGGTTTGTATGTCATGGCGACAGGAAATCTTTGCAGCACGAGGCGCATACGCTGAAGACAAAGAGGGCAATCGCAGAGTGGTTTCTTGAAAATTGATTCAAGCGGGCGATGGTCGGATTCAACTGTGAATAATTGTTGTCTGAGTATGTAGTCCTTGAACTTCATACAGCCATAAACTATGGCTAGGGTTTCTTTTTCAATCTGTGCATATTTCTGCTGCGTGGCCGTTAAAGAGCGGGAAGAATAGGCTATGGGGTGGTCATCTTGTAGGATGACTCCGCTGACGCCGTACTGACTCGCGTCAACGGACAATTTCACTGCTTTGGACTGGTCAAAGTAGGCTAGTACTGGCGCTGTAGCAAGACTAGCTCGTAACTTTTGGAAACTGTTTTCCTTCTCTTCTGTCCACATCCATGCCACATCCTTCTTAAGCAGCTCTCGCATATGCTCGGATGCAACAGACAGGTTTGGGATGAAACGCGATACAAAGTTGACCATTCCAAGGAATATTTGAAGCTCCTTACGGTTTTTCGGTGCAGGTACTTGAATGATGTCTTGTACTCTTTCTGGATCCAACGAGAGTCCTTCTGCAGTGAGGAGGTGGCCCATGTAAAGTACACTGGACTGCAAAAATTGGCACTTCTTTCTGTTGAGCCTTAAATTGCATTCTCTGCAGCGTTCAAGCAAAGCGGTGAGGTTTCTGTCATGCTCCTGCCTCGTCTTTTCCCAGACTAATATATCATCCATCACGACCGCTACACCAGCCAAATTTCCAACCACTTCATGCATGGCATGTTGAAAAACCTCTGGTGCCGATGCGATGCCGAATGGCATGCGTAGAAACCTGTACCTTCCAAACGGTGTGCTCATAGTGCACACACGCGAACTTTGTTCGTCAAGGATTATTTGCCAAAAGCCTGAAGCAGCATCGAGTGTGGAAAAATATTTGGCTCCTTGAAGCCGCAGCAGTACGTCGTCCCAAGTCGGCGTATGGCAATGCTCTCGCAAAAACGCCTTGTTTCAATCTCAAGGATCCAAACATATGCGTACCTTCTCATTCTTTATTACTACGACCATGTGGCTGGACCACACACACGGCTTTTTCACCTTTGTGATGACGCCGTCGCGTTCCATCTCGTCTAGCTTTGCTTTCACTGGTTCTTCAAGGGCGACGGTAATTCTCCTTGCGGGTTCGATGGTTGGTGGTACATCGGGTTTAAGCTGCAGGTGATAGGTGAAGCCTTCAAGTTGTCCTAGGCCCTGGAAAATATTGCCACGTTTTACTTCTCAAGTTTTGTTATCGCCCTAAAACACTACACAATTCTCAGCGCAAAACGCGCGTGAAGTTTTCGAGAAGCTTCCGGACTTTAGTAGATAATTTCGATAAGATCACGCCCACTCTGCGAACTGTACAGATTATTCTGGAACCTACACCACTGCCAGTGATAACGCTAGAACATTCGATGGCAAGAGTATAAATGCCGATGCACTTCGCCGCTTGTCAGTGGTTGATCGACGGCCGACGCTCCGTTCGCCGCTATCAGTCCAAGACTGCTACTGTAATCGGACTTTCCGTTTACCGGGCACAGGTTCACCCAAATCAACAATTAAATTCCAACACAAAGTCTCCTGTCTTCGGCCACATCACGACCTCGTGACTTCTGGTGGAGGTGCTGTTTCTTCCATGTACCGGACGCCTCCTTCAAGCCGCGACCCCAACCCTAGCGTCAAAGAAGACACGGACGCTAACCCTGAACAGCGACCAAGCCGCAGGCAGAGGGGACTACAACCAGAGTACGGGCCTTTTCCTGAAGCAGCCAGGCAGTCTCGGATCCCGACATCCACTACTGCAACCATGACCGCCCCCGTGCAGCCTGCACCACTCCTGCTCCGGCAACCCAAAGAGCCGCCACCTTTCCGCGGTTCGCCATGGGAAGACCCGGAAAGCTGCATCAAAAGGTTCGACCGCGTCGCCGCCTTCAATGACTGGACAGACAATGACAAGCTCCGGCATGTGTATTTCGCTTTAGAAGATGCTGCTCGGACCTGGTTCGAGAATCAAGAGCGAAGCCTTACAACGTGGGACGTCTGTCGCGCCAGGTTCCTCATCACTTTCGCAAGTGTGTTGCGCAAGGAGAAGGCTGCAGCTCTTCTTGAAACCCGCATGCAGACGCCAAACGAAAATGTGGCGCTATTCACTGAAGATATGATTAAACTTTTCCTCCACGCTGACTCCGACATGTCAGAAGAGAAGAAGGTCTGTCTGCTCATGCGAGGAGCAAAGCAGGAACTCTTTGCCGGGCTGATCAGAAACCTGCCAAAGACGATCGCCGAATTCATTTCAGAAGCATCTACGATAGAGAAGACGCTCGAGATGCGCACGCGGCAATATAACCGTAGCTACTCGTCTACCAGCTACGCCGGCATTCAAGCGCTTGGAACCACTGACTTGCGTGAGACTATCCGAGCGATCGTGCAAGAAGAGCTGCGAAAATTACTTGCTTCAGCACAGCCTCACGTGGAATCCATCGCGGACGTCATACGCCAGAAGATCCAGCAATCACTGGGCGTTCCTCAGCCTCAAGAGCCTCAGCTGCAAGCCATGAGCTATGCTGCTGCAGCCCGCCGCCACGCCCCCTCCTCCACGCGCTCGCCAAAACGCTGCCCCATCGCTCTTCAGTTGCCAGACGCCACCGCCGCCACCACCCCCACCGACGTCCTACCGTTCGTCAGCGGCCCAGCGCGGTGCGCCGAGGAAGACTGATGTCTGGCGCACCCTTGACCACCCCCCGCTCTGCTACCATTGCGGCGAGGCCGGAAACAAATACCGCCGTTGCCAGTACCGACAGATGGGCCTGCGTGGCTTCGCCGTCAATGCACCGCGTCCGCAGCCATAAGAACGGCCACGTGACATCGCAGACTACCTGACAGGAACTCAGTGTACACCACGAAGTCCTTCCCGTTCGCTGTCGCCCAGCCGCCGCATGTCACCGCACTACCGGCAGTACTCTGGCCCAACGCGGGGCCGGTCTCCTAGCCCGT